GGAAACCAATATTTACAAAATTAAGAAGGAATCTATCACTAGTTCAAGCAACAAGTGGACAAAACTTTTGTACCAAGATTTTAATTGCATCATATTGCAAACTTCTGTGCGACTGTTTTAAATATCTTCTCAAAAGAAATCATATCCAACAACATCAAATGTCAAAAACAAAGTTTGAAGTTCATATGAAACACTTGAAAGTACTGGTGAAATGAAACTCATGGTGCAATTTTACCTGTGTTTACACAATTTCTCTGAACTTTGAAATTTATTTTCGCGAGTTCCCTAGGGAAATTGTTTTTGGAGTTATTTCAGGTGATTATTTATCTGTTTCGCTTTTGTAAAATGCAAAAGGATTTTAATACACTTAACATTATTCTGGTACAAGATTTTTGTCCACGAAGAGCTGAAATTGCTCGATTTCCTATCGGATTTCGTCTTATTACAAAATGAACAAATTCAAGATGAAAGGTGTTAAGATAAAACCTTATAATTGAGATGTAAACTTACAAATCCTAGACATAACAGATTCTGTCAACCCGTTAATTACGGTATAATATACACACGCAGGATCAATTGGCTGATGCTAAAATTAATTCGCTAATACAGAAAAATGTGTATCCTTCAGTTATTGCGTATTTACTTTTTCAAATGAGCAGGCTCTATCTAAAGCTACCATAGCTATTTCAATCATCGTTGTGGATGAAAGCTTTAAAGCCGAAAGGACACCGAACGGTGGTCTGGGTACTTCACTGGAATATTCCAAGTAAGTCTAGAGGGTATCTACAAGATTGTGTTTTTGCGTTTGAACTATTCGTTTCTCCTTTCCTGAAGATCTTTTTCTGTTTCTTTACAATAGATTGACTTTAAGCTTGCAACACTCTAAATCAACCACATTGTTTCGGTCTGCTTCAGTCCAAATTCTGAAGATGAAAAAAGAAACATCCATATCCATGTCACATCGTAGCGGCTCTCTCCCTTTATCCCCGGGGGGGACTGCCATATAAAAAGGAGGGGGGTGGTCGTCCTACTTTTCAGGGGTTAAAAAAGTGGTTTTGGTATCTTTCAGGGTGTTAAGCCTCATAAGGTCCACAGCAGGAGCTTTCGCTGTACCTGTTAGGGTACTGAGCTGAAAAAATATGACAGTACATATTTGTCAATCAACTGATTTTTTTCTGTGAAACAAGAAGTAAAAAGATAGAGTTCTTGTTTTCCAACAATGCGTTTTATGGTATTGTCATCACCACAGTTTACTTGTTATTTCCTGTTAAGCAACTGGTTTTTAATTTTGTCTCATTTACACCGGGATTTCACAACTTACCACGTTCAGTTTTAAATGTGTTTTTTTTAGAATTGGTACCTCTAAGGGACGAAAAAACTCAAGCCACGCCCATCAAACGGGATATTGGTACCTCTTAGGGGTTCTTTCAAAAATTTCCGATGAGCACCCCAGCCTTTTTTATATGGAAGTCCCCCCGTCCTCCCGGGCTTCCCACCAGCTTTCGGTCTGGGCGTATACGCTTGAAACATTCAGGAAGCAAAGAAATAAGTAAACCCATACAGCAATAAAAAGAGACCCAGAAATTTTCGACTGCTACAAAGTTAAAACTATAATTCTGTAACAAAACGTTGCCAGATTTTTCGGTTTGTAAGAAAAAAAACCTTTTTCCATTGATTCAGGCCTGCAAAGAATACAGTTGTCAATGTCTTCTAGGTCCTTCCAATTTGACAGTTTAACACCCCAAATGAATACTACGTGAGCCATGAAAAATACATAACCCATTTACTATACATATAGAACACGGTATTTACAAAGTGTACACGCTTCTAAATTATGACATGGTGTCAATTGGTTTGAAACGAACATTGTGACTAAAAGTACAAGGGCACCGGGGGGGGACTCCCATATAAAATGGACGGGGGGTGCTCGTCGTACCTTTTAGAGGTTAAGAGAGGGGTTTTGGTAACTCTCAGGGTGTTAAGACTCGAAAGGTCCACGGCTGGAGCTTTCGCGGTACCTTTTAGGATATTGAGCCGAAAAAATATCACGGGAGATAATGTGTTAGGTAAGAATTGGTATCTCTTACGGGAGAAAAAACATTTCAAGCCACGCCTACAAAACAGGATCTTAATAACTCTTACGGGTTCTTTTCAAAATTTCTGACAAGNCCCCCCCCCCCGAGCAAGGGCAACGTTAAGTTTCTAATCAATGCCTAATAGTCTAGGAAGACTTAGAGCACAATAAAATTCTACGACTTGAGTTTCGTATTTATAATAGTCCTTCTTTAGTCCCATCGTTAAGACACCAGGCAAATGAAAAGTTCCACGTACGAATTGTAGTCTTTTGGAACATAAAAAATTTCCAAGGGAATCTATCAATCCATAGGCGCGAGTCTTAACCACACTTTTGTCTTTAGTTATCACCACGAAATGTAAAATGTAAACCTTAAGCTGAAAACGTCAAGATATTAATTACTGAAATTTCCAATCGCTCTGGAGCGCTTGGAGATTTTGTTTTCCGCCAAGGTATCCTTCTTTGCATGAAATAAATTTCGTAGGTGTAGAAACAATTTTATATGAAAAATGTAAAGGTTACTTCCCACCTTCAAGAGTGAAAAAAATCATTTTTTCTTTTATTTGCCTAAATCTGACTCTTTGGTGCCGCGCATATATGCATAGCTAGCTTAAGGTAATCGATTCAATGCCCGTCATCCTCTCTGATGAGCGCGCATCTCTACTAAACCTACTGAAATACTACAAGACTCGTAAAACATACAAAGGCAGCACAATAAAATGTGATATTAGGTCATCAACAGACGAGGACAAGGATATTAGCACCTTAGTACTCGATAGAATAATTCCACAGACTGGAAACTGAAGTTATTAATTCCTAAATATCTATGCGAGAGCTTCTTTAATAACGTTCGCTGCACATTCAGATGTGCCAAATTGTCCTCTGAAATGGTTGCTAAGAAACATTTTCATTTGTTTTTAGGAAACACTTAGTAGTTGGTAACACCAAAAGATCCCAAAACCGTCTCGTTTGTTTGGATCCGCTACATGTAAGGTAATTTAATTTTAGTACAACCTGTCAAAGATACCTTAATTGCTTCGATCTTTTAAGCTATCGATAATCCTTTGCTGACTACAACTAACGTTTTAAATTAGAAGCCTAATCCCAGCACGCATTAATAAATGAGAAAACCCCCAGCTTCTCTTCGTGTTAGGTTTCATGCTGGGATCAGATTAAAACATCAACCATATCTACATTTACAAACTCTGATTGTGTCCCCCTACTCGGTCGATCTTGCTCCAGCTGTTGGTGGGCAAGACGGTTGCGCAGTTCTTCAATCTCATCTCTGGTTCTATGTGAGGAGATCAAGCAAGACATCATTTTATCATAATTGTATAAACAAGCAGTAGTTTTGTTTCTCATCAGCACTACAGAGCGTATTTTTCTCTCTATGCTCTATCTTCATTGTCCTTGCCCGTTCACATACTCTTGAAATGCCGTCAAGTAAACTTTCAAAACCTGAGCGTAAATGCGAATGTCTTCCTTTCATAATCAACAATTCCTATCTCATGATGTATGGCCAGTTTTATAGATTTTATTACTTGTGAACCTACAACCATATCAGGCAGAGCTTAAGGAAATGCTGTCGAATTAAATATCAGCAGGAAATTATTTAAGCCCAATTTATAGAAACCGAGAGCATACCCTCTAAATGTGCGTTATTATCCTGGTCAGGATTTATATATGACCCATTTTATGATCCAAGATCAATCGGGTCATGGTGCATCAAAGGAACCAATGAATCTTCTCTTGGCAAGGATTCTTCGGTTCCTTTGATGTACAGTGATGATCTGAGTGATCCTGGATCATAAACACTGATTCAAATCTTCCCAAGGAACCCAGCCTTATTGTCTAAGCATAACCCAGTGACTGAACAAGAATATCGATAGACTGCAAGTGAATATACGAAATATCATATCTTTGAACCGCAGAGAAAGACATGAAGACATGATTGATCATCGCAGTTATGCACACAACTTAAACAGTTGTGAAATTAAAGCCTGAAAAAAATTCAGGCCTGAACGGGATTCGAACCCATGACCTCTGCGATACCGGTGCAGTGCTCTACCAACTGTGCTATCAAGCAATTGGGAGCGAGTCACATTATGAGTTCGTAATGTACCCGTAGATGGTGAAGAATGCAAGGGAATATACGAAATCTCATATATTTCAACTGCGGAGAAAAATATGAAGACATGATTGATCATCGCAGTTATACAAACAACTTAAGCAGTTGTGAAATTAAATCACAGGTATATTACGAACTCACAATGTGACCAGCTCCCAGTGGGCTTGATAGTTCAGTTGGTAGAGCACTGCACGGTACCGCAGAGGTCATGGGTTCGAATCCTGTTCAGGCTTTAATTTCGCAACTGCTTAAGTTCTGTGTATAACTGCAATGATCAATCACGTCTTAGTATCGATACAACTGACATGTATAGCGACGCTTTCTGCCATAATTTGCAAAAAAAAACAAACGCAGGCTCTGTCGAGTGCTGTCTATCAATCAATCGTGATTGATAGACAATAAGTGTGCCAATGCTGGGCCTCTGAATTACGCTAAAACCGATGTTTAAGCACGCCGATGCTANTAGCGACGCTTTTCAGCCAAGATCTGCAAACAAACGCAGGCTCTGTCGAGTGCTGTCTATCAATCAATCGGGATTGATAGACAATCAGTTTGCTAATTCTGAGCCTCTGAGTTAAGCTAAAACCGATGTTGAAGCACGCCTATGCTACAATGAAAAAGCCCAAAATACCGTTGAAGATCCGTAATGTTGTCATCCAGCACCCTCTCCTGCATGGTTTGGGACCTTTCAAGACATTCTTTTGCTTTGTGGAGTTCTCCCCTTTCTTTGTGCACCATACCAAGATCAAACAGAGACTTGGCCGTGTCACGATGATCCTTCAGCAACTCAAGTCGCATCTTCAGCGCTTTATCTGAATATTGCTTAGCGCTGTCGTATTGACGCAAAGCATAGTAGTTATTGGACAGATTGTTGAGGATGGTTGCCGTGAAGGGATGATCACCCAAATGATCCCTGTAAATTGGAAGGGTCTGTCGCTCTCTGACTGCAATGGCTTCCCGGTGGTTTCCTTCAAGCGATAGGGCCACTACCAAAATAATTTACAAGAAAATATTATTATTCCTCTCTCTTGATACCTTCCAGTTAAGTACAAGGAACACTAATACAAAATTGAAACTCTAGATAAGACTCCATTACCAGCCGCTGTTCGGGAAAGGATGGGAAGAACCGCTAGGATCGGACTGTACGAGGCAAGCGCGTCCAATTGTTGGTGGGTTAGAATCCCAATCCGACTGGTCGTGGCCAGACTCTTGGCTGGTATCATTGTGTTGTGTTGATGAACAAGACTATTTTACTGTCGCATGGCCTCGCTGAAACCGAGGATATATATACAGTAAATGACACGTACCTGCCATATCATTGTATGTTGCTGCAAGCATGACGATGTCCTCATTCCCATGTCGTCGTCTAATGTCGATTGCCTGCTCGATCTTCTCTTTCCCTTCAAGGAAATTGCCTGCTTTTGCGAGACATCGACCAAGTTTGGAAAGACATTGAGCCCGACTGTTTCCGGTGTTGATGCTCAGATCCAGACTGCTCTGAATTCTGTCGCCTTCCAACAAATATTTCTTGGCTCGTTCCGCGGCTACATGACACAGACCCGGCGAACATGAGCAGTGGAACACGTGTTTGATTCCCAGGGAGGTGAGGCACTCACTCAATCTCTTTTGATCTCTCATTTCTTCAGACTTCCTTCTTAACAATGTGAAAACATATTCATATTTCTTCTTTCCAATCATCTTTGCCAGAAGCTCCCCAACGCTGTTGAAGACATCGATGCACTTCCCAATTTGTTCTGCAGTCATTTCTCCGTTGTCACACCACTCAATAAGTTGCATGACATTCTCTTCCTCCTGTCGGAAAGCTGTGATTGCGTCTGAAGCGTTCCTGCTAAGGAACAGTCTAAATGTGTCTGTCAGGAAGGCAAAAAAGTGATCGATGAACACATTCCGCGCATTGAAAAAGACTTCACGAAACTGATCTAATGCCTTTTCTTTGCAGTAGTCGCGAATGACTCTGAGAAAAGTATACAAACAAACACCCCCAATGATGTTCTGTTCCAAAAGAGATCGCTTTGCCAGTTCTAATGCATTTTTTGTGAGCTGACGTTCGTTCAGCAATGGTGAACAAAATATTTGTCCAGCTCTGGGCAGAGTAAAACGCCCTCTAAGAAGTGCCAATGTTATGAGGGTGTTCTGTTCTTGTTCAGAAAGTCTGCCAAAGCAAATGTCAAGGCAAACACCGATCTTTTCTTCCCTTGGGACTGCCTGAATCTTTCTCAAGAACTCAAACGTATCTTGTGGCAACGAGCAGTTCATAAGTTCCACGAGACTAAGCAGGTCGTGGTGTGACAAGGCTAAGGTGTAGAGAACGAGTGGAATGCCGCTACAAATCTCTGATAGCTGGTACGCCCATTGTGGGTCTTGCACCCTATCTCTACAAACTTTTTGCAGGAGCTGAACTGATTCTTCTGGTTTAAAGCAATCCAGATGAACCTCTTCCTGCCCTAGGCTCGGGAACGCAACTCTCTCTGAAGAGGTGACCAGTAACTTGACTTTTCCTGAGATCATCACAATTTCAGTGATGATTTTCATGATCGTCGATTCTTCGCATGCTGGGTCTTGTACTACTGCTCCTTCATGGGGCGTTTCTTGCCCAATGTCGCCCAGATGTAGCAGAAATTCGAAGTTGTCCAGCAACAACACCGTGTAGCAATCTTGGCTTTTCAGACGATTTTTTAGCTCCGATATCGGGTTGTCGACGGGGTAATGGTAAACTTGTTGAAGAGCCTTTTCTGCGAAATCGTCCAGAGAATTAATATATCTGCAGTTGATATAAACAACCACGGTACGACTGTCGGAGTTCAATCTGTCGTTTGCCACCTTGATAGCCGTGGTTGTTTTACCCACACCAGTAACGCCATGGACGAGAACACATCTGCAATCGTGTTTTGGACAAAGGTGACTGCTAATGGCATTGCATTCCTGGACACGACTGACAAAATGCGGTATTGTCTGAGGGAGATGGGAAAGATATCTGAAGG